ATTGAATAAATCCACAGTGTGATGCAGTTATGAAAAAGGCTAATATCATTCTCGGGTTTATTAGCAGGAATGTCATATGTAAAATACAGGAGATAATTGTCCCACTCTGATTGGCACTGGTGAGGTCTCAGTTGGACTACTGTGCCCAGTTCTGGGCACCTCACTTTAGGAAAGAAGTGGATGTATTAGACAGTCCAGAGGAGAGCAACAAAAATGATAAAAGGTTTAGAAAACCTGACCTTTGAGGAAAGGTTTAAAAAAAGCTGGGCATGTTTAGTCTTGAGAAAAGAAGAGGGCGGGGGGACGGGGGTCCTGATAACAATCTTCAGATATGTTAAAGACTGTTTATGCAGAGGACTGTGTTCAATTGTTCTCCATGTCTACTGATTGTAGGAGAAAAGTGTTGGGCTTAATCTGTGGCAAGGAAGATTTAGGTTAGATATTAGGAAAAACATTCTAACTATAAGGATAACTGAGCTCTGGAATCAGCTTCCAGTGGAGGTTGTGGAATCCCCATCATAGGAGGCTTTTTAAAAAAACAAGTCGGACAAACGCCTGTCAGGGATGGTGTGGGTTTACTTGGTCCTGCCTCAGCACAGAGGCCTGGACTTGTTGACTTCTCAAGGTCCCTTCAAGCTCTACATTTTGATGATTCTATTGTGATTTAACAAAAAAAATCAGAGATTGGCTAACTCCGAGGACTGGTAATGACATCTAGAACCTTCCACTTCTCCCATGCACACCAAATCAGTAGTGACCAAAAGTTGTTACTGTTTTACAGCAGTGTGCAAACTGAATGTATGCTCTCTTGTACTTTCCCAATATAAACCCTACCTGCAGGCCTTTTAGGGGCTGTCAGGGGCTAATACTTTTGTACAGTGCTTTTTATTCAAGGATCTCTGAAGGGTAAGCATTTAACCTATATTAGAGATGGGAGAAATGGACACATGAAAATTTACGGACAAATGTTTTAGAGGTGGGCATGATTTTTGGTTTTGCAGCCTGAACCAGGTTGGGTTGGAGTTTCTGAAGGCGCTGAAGTTAGACTTCAGTTGGAACTCAGCACGTAGAAAATCAGGCTCAAGATGTCCCAAATTGGGCATCCAGAAATATTGGAGACACCCAGAATTAGAGCGCACTATTGAAAAATTTGATCTGAAGTCATTTATTAAACATCGCACAGAGTCTGTGGCAAAGCTGGGTATAGAATCTAGGTCTCCTGACACCCTGTCCACTGGGGCCACACCACCTTTGTATATTAGAGAAACAAGGTGGGTGAGGTAATATTTTTTTTTTATTATTCTACAAACTTCTATTGGTGAAAGAGACAAGCTTACACAGAGCTCTTCTTCAGCTCGAAAGCTTGCCTCTCTCACAGCAGCAGTTGGTCCAATAAAAAGATATTACCTCACCCACCAGGTCTCTAATGTCCTGGGACCAACACAGCTACAACACCTCAGCATATAATCTTTGTATATGGTAGTTTGCTCCTTGTACTCAGTTTTCCATGTAATACATGCAGAATAGGAAGTCACCTATTGCAGTGAAAGGGGCAGCCAAATCTTCAGCTGCTCTGTGTTGGTGTCCGTGTCTGTTCTTTACAGCCCACATGCTGGGATGCCTAGAGCAGCAGACTGCCTACGGCTGGCGCTCCCTAGATGCATTCCCACCCAACGTCCCTCTTATCCCTTCCTAGATGGGACTCCCAATATTTACATCTGACTTATGGGAAGAAATCGCAACCGCAGCCAATGAGACTTTTTCTTTCCAAACGGGCCACTGTTCACCCAGTGGCAGATGCGGGCCAGTTGTTGTCATGGCAACAAGGGCAGAGGGAGGAAAGCCACTTAATTCCAGAGCTGATAATTAGCTGGGGGGGAATAATTGTAGCAGGAGGGGAAGCTCTCAGTAATTATAGGAGAACAGCACAGATGAAAAGGCAGGGCACAGATGCTGTCAGTGTTGTGTGCCCTGCTGTAGCCATTTAAGTTGTCACAGGCTGGGAAGTGTTGCGAAATGGGACACTGCCATTCCTAGCAGGGAAGAGCACGTCCTGGGGAGCTTTTACTTGGGGAGGGATTAGAGGAACAGACCCATTATGGAAGCAGTAAGGAGATCGTCAGAAAGGGGATTTAAATTTACAAAGCAGATTCCAAAATAGGCTGCTAACCAAATTCCACTCACATGTACACCAGTATGTACCAATAATATAACCGAAGAGCTGAAACCAAAACAAGTGGTAGGTAGATATTGGCAAAGAGAACATAAGGCTTACACTGTGTGATGGAGAGCAAAATTACAATTAGATGAAATATATGCATGGATACCTATGAAATGCAGCCATTTCTGTGGTGGAACACTGCAGCCAGTCATCTTGGCAACATTAAACAGTTCTTCAGAAGACAGCTTCTGAAAGAAGTTGTTAGGGCTTTGGCTTTATATATAATCTGAAAGGCAGTAACACAGCACAACACAGCTATGCAGAGCACCGTTCTATTGCTGACTCAGAAAGACATGAAGCACACTTTCTGAATTATCAATGCCATTATCTACAGCTCCTGTTTCTCCTTGGGGATGTGACTAAGGCTGACTCTCTTTAGTCTGAGATCTGACAGAATCACAGGGAGAAGTAGTTTGGCTTTTAGGATGTTACTTGGGATATACTTTGACACTCCCTTTCTGTGCCCTAAGGGCTGTAGAGTAGATGGTTTGTGATAGAAGCGGTTGTGAGGGGAGGGGACGCTGGGGTCAGTAGAATGATATTCAGTAGTGCAGTGACCTACTTCTGGCCAAGCTGCTGGGATGTTTGTAGCTACCCCACTTAGGATCTGTTCTCCTAAAATCACCATGGTTTTCTGTTAATAACATGAACTTCCTCTTGTTTTCTTCCCAGAGTTTGCTATATACCAAGCTGCTGTTGGAATCTATAGACAAGCAATTAGTATTGGAGTTGGGGTGTCTGACTGACACAATAATTACGCTGGAAAATGTAATTTCCCCTGCATATTAGCAATGGGGTTATTTCAAGGAGCTCTCATTAATGTGCTGTTTGCCAACAAAGAGCCCAGTAACCTCTCTTTTAATAAGATTAGTGCAGGGGTCATAATGCAGCAGGCTGTTAAGATGATAATTTCTCTCTCTAGAACAAAAAGCTGAATATATCTTCTGCTATCTACACTGGTATAAAGGAGAAGCTTTAATTTAGAGAGCTGGAGACTCAACAATCGTTCCTTTCCTAGTAACCAGTGCCCACCCTTCTATGCACAGATGCTGTGCATCCTCACAGTGGAAGTTTTGGAGTTGGGAGGGGGTGTGGTGAGTAGTGGCTAGAGCAGAGGACTGGCAGCTAGGTCTCCCGGATTGTCTTCCTAAATCAGATGTCAAGAATTATAACGTTCATAAACCAGTCGGAGAACACTTCAATCTCTCTGGTCACGCAATCACAGACATGAAGGTCGCTATCTTAAAACAAAAAAACTTCAAATCCAGACTCCAGCGAGAAACTGCTGAATTGGAATTCATTTGCAAATTGGATACTATTAATTTAGGCTTAAATAGAGACTGGGAGTGGCTAAGTCATTATGCAAGGTAGCCTATTTCCTCTTGTTTTTTCCTACCCCCCCCCCCCAGATGTTCTGGTTTAACTTGGATTTAAACTTGGAGAGTGGTCAGTTTGGATGAGCTATTACCAGCAGGAGAGTGAGTTTGTGTGTGTATGGGGGTGGGGGGGATGTGAGAGAACCTGGATTTGTGCAGGAAATGGCCCAACTTTATCATGCACATTGTGTAAAGAGTTGTCACTTTGGATGGGCTATCACCAGCAGGAGAGTGAATTTGTGTGGGGGGGTGGAGGGTGAGAAAACCTGGATTTGTGCTGGAAATGGCCCACCTGTTGATCACTTTAGATAAGCTATTACCAGCAGGACAGTGGGGTGGGAGGAGGTATTTTTTCATATTCTCTGTGTATAAATAAAGTCTGCTGCAGTTTCCACGGCATGCATCCGATGAAGTGAGCTGTAGCTCACGAAAGCTCATGCTCAAATAAATTGGTTAGTCTCTAAGGTGCCACAAGTACTCCTTTTCTTTTTCCTAAATCTGCCAATTACATGCCATGTGACCATAAACAAATCCCCTTAACACCTGTCTCATTTTACCCATGTATAAAAGGTAAATATTTGCCTCCCCAAAGGCAATTGTTTGTAGAACATTTGAAGTTCTACGTGCACCTAGAGTGACCAAGTATTATCATCATGTTCATCCTGCTGAGTTCCAAATGCAGTAGCAGGTACATAGGAAAGAAACACAGTGAAGTTCAAAGGGACTCAAGCAGTTTGAATTATTTTTAAATTAACTAATCTTTGAAAATTCAGCCTTCCGGTAGAGCTTTACGCAATGTGTAGACAGTTGTTGTTTTTTAAAAAAAAAAAAAAAAAGTGTAGGACTCTTTCATTGCTTCCTGCTGATGTTTGTGAGGGTTTTTGGGGTGAGCCAGGGGACAATACAACCAAACATGCTTAGGTTCCATCTTTCCCTTTCCACTCTGTGTACATATCTGTCTACCATCTGTTTTGGTTTCAGCTCTACTACTGTGTTACTGGTAAATACTGTCTTGCAGGGCTTGGAGCACAGAGTGCATGGGAAAGTTTTCCATCTAGACCAGTGTGTAAAGCAGTGGTTCTCAAACTTTTGCACTGGTGACTCCCTTCACACAGCAAGCTTCTGAGTGTGACCTCCTCCCCTCTTGTAAATTAAAAACACTTTTTATATTTAACTTGATTATAAATGTTGGAGGAGAAGCGAGTCTTCAGGATGGAGGCTGACTGATTGCAACCTCCCACGTAATAACCTCATGACCCTCTGAGGGGTCACGACCCCCAGTGTGAGAACCCCTGGTATAAGGGATATCTTCCTGATAGCACACCAAACAGGAAGTGCAATTGATAGGGTTGCCAACCCTATAGGAGTCTCCGTGAATTAAATATTAATATTTTAATTAAAAGATTATGTCATGTGATGAAACCTCCAGGAATATCTCCAACCAAAACTGGCAATCGACCATCAGCCAAACAGGGTAAGTTGCTGTATGTAAAGTGCTGCATCAGGGAGCAGACCAACTAGGATCAGCTGCTGGTCTGCTCCAAGTAACTTTGCTACTAGGCACCCAGTGAGCCCAGTTTCACTGCTTTGGAACTGACAGAGTGGCCACAGCCCCTGATTGGTGCTGGTTGAGCAGCCCTGCTTATAAGCCTGACCCACAACAGCAGATCAGGAGCTACCCATCGTGTACCAAGCCTTCAGCTGTGCTTGCCCTTGTTCCAGTCCCTACTCCAGGCCTTTGCTCCCCTCCTGCTTGAGATTTCTGGCTTTGATCCCCAGCTTTGCCTCCGGCTTACAACTCTGGTTGTCCCTCCAGTTCTGGCATTCGGCTTCTCTCTCTCTCTCTCTCTCTCTCTCTCTCTCTCTCACCAGTACTGACTCTCTGCCCATTTCCTGGACTCTGCCCACCATGAACCCAGCTCTAACTGGTAGGCTGAACTCTCGCTGACTACCCACAGCCTGGTTGGCTATATGATGTCACGTGCATAAACAAACAACTGGGGTTGGGGGCATATTTTTTCCCTCTTCCTACTTACTTCAGGCCTTACTCATAGCAACAGTATATATGATATTTTCAGTTAGAAATATTTTTTCCACTCCCACATGAAAGACCACATTTTGATTTATGACCCACTATGATAGCTGTGCTCCACTCGGACAATGCAGAGTGCAAAGCCCAGGACAAAACGCGTTAGAACTGGGATCAAACCATTTTCAGTCAATGTGATCCAACTATGGGACAGATTTCTAGAGGAGATTAGGGAAATCCAGAGACTGCCCATTTTTAGAAAACATTGCAAAACCTTTCTCTTTGGAAAAAGCCTTTTCACTGCAAGAAACACATTCACAACATGGACACCTCTTCTACTCCAAAACCTCCACTAACTTAAAAAAAATATATATTTATTTAAAAACTACTTCAAGCAGTTTTTACTTGAGAATGGAAGATTGTTCCACGGACTTTGTGAAATCCACGAGGGACTATGCTAATGCTATTGATTTTTACACAGAAGGTGCTCAGATACCATGGTAGTAGGAGGCATGATAAAATCCTTAGCTTAAAAAGCGGCATCAATTTCCATCAATGTGAGATTAGCTGCTTTAGCATAAATAACATTGCTTATTGTCTCAGTTTCATGATATAATATTTGTGCTTTGAATAATTTGCAACAATAGAAGTGAAAATACAGAGCATTAGATTTATGTAGGATGGAGGGTCATTTGAAGCTGTGATAATGAGGAGCCATTCCAAGCTATGTTTGGAAGCAATTTGCTTATGAAATAATTAGTACCTAGCGTTAATGGGTTTCGTGAGTAGAGTTGGGTGAATAACTGATTTCTTTTTTTCCAGTTTGCTGGCAGTTCTGAAAAATGGAGGGATAATTGGTTTGGGTTGAACCAAATCAGGAATTTTGGGGAATTTTTGGCAAACTGAAAAAGCTTGTTTCAGGTTGAACAAAACATCTTGTTTCCAGGCATTTCCAGGGATAGATTCACAAAACAGGAGAAGTGGTGCCCTCCTTATAACTTCCAACCCAGTGGATTAAGGTGCTCACCCAGGAGGTGAGAGGCTGGGGTTCAATCCTCCTGCCTGATATGGAGAAGGTCTTTGTACTTGGGTCTCCCCCTTTCCAGGTAAGTGCCCTAACCACTGGGCTATAGGCTGCTGTTCTTTCTTGGGTGGCTTTCTCTCAATCTCTCCTATTGAAGCTGTATATTTTTATAAATATTATATATAATTATTGTGACAAAGCTCTGTCCTTGCCTCTGTGGGTCCCATGTTTCCTGGCAGATTTCACTAGCCTCAGACTCACTGTGACCTTCCACATAACCCTTCTCTCTCTGAGCCATTTTCATCATAAGACAGTGAGGGAGGTGAGGAGAAGTTATCCTTCCTTGCACAGTCTCTGTTGTCTCCCATTCTCAGTGATTAATCAGGGGGCAAAGGTGGGGGAGGGAGCCCAGGCCCACCCTCTACTCTGGGCTCCAGCCCAGGGACCCTAATAGTATCAGCTATGGTAGCTGACCTTTTAGAAACATGACATGTACAATTCCCTGGGCTACTTCCCCCACAGTAGCCCTCACTTCCTCAAGCTCCACTTCACTCTTACCTCAGGGCCTCCTTCCTTGTGCCTGATATGGTGTGTACTACTCAGCCTCTCCAACAGCACAACTTCCTCCCACAGCTCTTGACATGCACACCCACCTGACTAACTGGGAGGCTTTGAACTAGTTTCAGCCAGCCCCTGATTGGCTTCAGGTGTCCCAATCAACCTAGCATTCTCCCTGCCTTCTGAAAAGTTCTTAATTGGCCCCAGGTGTCTTAATTGACCTGGAGCAGCTTCCATTTCACTTATCCTGGTACCAGGGATTTGTTTAGCCTGGAGCTAATATATCTATCTCCCACTACTTTTCTATAGCCATCTGACTTTGCCACGTCGCATTATACATTATTAATGTTTATAAATAATTAAAAATTCACTGGAGCAAGGACTTGAACTTAGGTGCCCCATCGCCCAGGCTATAGAGTCAGTCTCTCTCGCTTGCTGGCATAATGGACAAAGCAAGTACTGTATGTATGTATTTATTTATTATACAAACTGGAACAAGCAGAACTCAAATAATAAACAATGGTTACTTCAGTTGCAGTCTCTTCTATATATCTCTCTGTGGACAGATTATGCCTCTAAGAGTGGGCTCACTGCTGGTGGGCACTCTTCTGTTGTTAAGTTAAGACAAAAGTTGGTAGTGAGCCCTTTCTTAATGTGTCATAACCAAAACAGTTTGTAGATGGACAAAGGAATTTTGATTAAGGGCAGGTGAGTCTTGTTCAGTTTGATGGATTACCTAAACAGTTTATAAATGGCTAAAGGGAGTATTAACTAAGTCCTATGAAACCAAATAAAGTATATATTGAAATCAGTTCCTCAAAAGAAGCAGTTCAAGGAACAGTTTTAAGACAGATAAATGAATGCATATTAAGAATCTTATTTGAATTAAATCCCACTACAGTAAAAGCTGTGTTATCTGGCACTTTACCAACCGTAAAGCTATAGAAACCAGCATTTCTGATATCTCCCAATACAAATATTCAATAGGGTTGTCTGGCTCATTGTGGCTCCCCGGAAGCAGTGACATGTCCCTGCTGCTCCTAGGCAGAGGAATGGCCACCGGGGCTCTGTGCGCTGCCCGTTCCCCGCCCCAAGCCCTGGCTCCGCAGCTCCCATTGGCCGGGAACCGAGGCCAATGGCAGCTGCGGGGGCGCTGCCTGTGGGCGGAGGCAGCGCACAGAGCTGCCTAGCTGTACCTCCACCTAGGAGCAGCAGGGACATGTCACCACTTGTAGGGAGCTGCCTGAGGTGCGCGCCACTCAGATCCGGCACCCCGCATCCCAACCCCCAGCCCTGAGCCCCCTACCCCGCCTAAACTCCAGCCCCCTCCCACCCCAAAGCCCATGTCCTGCACCCTGTCCTGTGCCCCAGCCATGAGCCCCCTGCCGCACCCAAACTCCTTCCCTCCATTAATAAGTATAACTCTTAGTTAACTGGAATTTTTGACTAACTGGCACCCCCCATTTCATAGATTCGTAGATACTAAGGTCAGAAGGGACCATTATGATCACCTAGTCTGACCTCCTGCACAACGCAGGCCGCAGAATCTCACCCACCCACTCCTGCGAAAAACCTCACCTATGTCTGAGCTATTGAAGTCCTCAAATCATGGTTTAAAGACTTCAAGGAGCAGAGAATCCTCCAGCAGGTGACCCGTGCCTCATGCTACAGAGGAAGGCGAAAAACCTCCAGGGCCTTTCCAATCTGCCCTGGAGGAAAATTCCTTCCTGACCCCAAATATGGCGATCAGCTAAACCCTGAGCATATGGGCAAGATTCACCAGCCAGATACTACAGAAAATTCTTTCCTGGGTAACTCAGATCCCACCCCATCTAACATCCCATCACAAGCCATTAGGGCTATTTACCGTGAATATTTAAAGATCACTTAATTACCAAAATCATGTTATCCCATCATACCATCTCCTCCATAAACTTATCGAGTTTAATCTTAAAGCTAGATGGATCTTTTGCCCCCACTGCTTCCCTTGGAAGGCTATTCCAAAACTTCACTTGATGGTTAGAAACCTTCGTCTAATTTAAAGTCTAAACTTCCTGATGGCCAGTTTATATCCATTTGTTCTTGTGTCCACATTGGTATTGAGCTTAAATAATTCCTCTCCCTCTCCAGTATTTATCCCTCTGATATATTTATAGAGAGCAATCATATCTCCCCTCAACCTTCTTTTAGTTAGGCTAAACAAGCCAAGCTCCTTGAATCTCCTTTCACAAGACAAGTTTTCCATTCCTCGGATCATCCTAGTAGCCCTTCTCTGTACCTGTTCCAGTTTGAATTCATCCTTCTTAAACATGGGAGACCAGAACTTCACACAATAAACCAGATGAGGTCTCACCAGTGCCTTGTATAACGGAACTAAAACCTCCTTATCCCTACTGGAAATACCTCTCCCTAATATGCCATATAACAAAGCTTTTACTGTATTTATTTCACCGATATAAGGAAGTTTTTACATTAGAAACTTTTGCATTTAGATAAAATATTTGCAGATATACATCTCAAAAGAGGCTTGTCCTCGCAAACATTTAAATAACCAGGTTTGCACCATTGAGAGGAAACATAAACTGGAAGCTACTAATATCTTCTGTAAAACATTTTCCAACCATCAATGTTTTTCTTACCATTTGAAGGTTTAGAGTACCTATAAAAGAAATTACTTTCATTAGGAGTTTTATAACTGGGGAGTTTTTTTTCTCTATGAAAGAAGGAGGGGAGAAAGACAGCCTCCTTTTATGACTTAGTCTTTACTCTGACAGCACATCTGTACATTCCTCTTTGTTCTAAAACAGAGCATTCTTATATTCTTTTGAAATCAGAATGCTTTCTAAAAATAAATATCTTACAA